CCTAAAGTGTAATTTGCCCGTAGATGTATGATCAGCGGCGGAAACCTGCAGTCTAATAAACACAGTTTAGACACCATGAGACTAGAGTCTAACTCTAACAGATCTGCTCATGCGCCGTCGGAAACCACCAAAGCTGGGACTTTTCAGACTACTGTTACGAAATTTCATTGCAGCCCGTACGGATTACGGCAATTTCGCTGCGTACCATCGTCGCTTCGATAATCCATACGCTATCACAGAGCACATCTGTGGGGAGAAAACCACCCCTAAGCACTTCATACATTGTAGACTCAACGCAAACATCACGCGTCGAATTAGAGGGTGATTGTCACACAGTGCTCTTCTACATAAGTTACTCGGATCAAAGCGCTTCGAGAACTTCAAAAAATTTGAGCAGGATACCAATTATATTGGGTATTCTCTTGTGTGACCATCTCCTACTCTCAGTGGAGATCGAATATAACTTGTCAGGAAATTAAACATGACTGGACGGGAATCAAGGCCAGGAGTGTTGGTACCCGTTCTAATTTCTTTGCAATGTATAGTTTTGTCAGTTTTTGGTGGAAGGAGTTGCTGCGGCGTATATTTTTAACCGACTGCTGGTTTTGAAGTGGTTCATGCGGTGGAATCGAGCTGGGTATGTCTTATATATAGTCCTAGCTATGAACACCGGTCCTGTACTCATAGTGGACTTAGAGCTTTAGCTTGAGACTTTAATAAAACAGCAACACAATTTTTTGAAATTCGAATCTTTGAATATTCGAATATTCCCATTTCCCTCTCTCTTTCCCTCTCGCGCTCTTCGCATTCTATCAAAAAATTATGATCGAGTCACTGGCATCTTCATCATGCCACCTGTTCGAAAAAAGCTCCCAAACGCAATGTTAGACAACTCGAGAGTCCGCCCGAGGGCTCCCGCAAAAATATCTGGCCTTGCCCAGTCTTCGAAATGCGCGGAGATGGGTCAGGCCGTTTCAAAAGGGAAGGAAAAAGCCCTTCTTACCGTCAACAAGCCCGATACTGACATGATCGGGTCAGCTGAAACTGATGAGGAAATTCCCCAACGAGCCTCCGTCCCCCACGAGATTAGAGAATCGTCCAAATCTCCCCCGACCGCACCAAAACTGTCGGAGAAAGCTGCACCGAAGGCACCTTCAACGAAAGGGTCGCAGCCTCAAGCTGCCACTAAAGCAGAATGCCCTTTGGAACTTCGACCGATCCTCGAGGCCGAATAACGACGCGCCGCCGAAACAGCGGCAAATCTGGCACTCTGTTCCGCGGCCGTTTCTGGCGTCGAAGTAACCCTTCTTCCTTTGACCAACGGGTCAAATGAACTATTCGTAGACTCCGTGAGAGTCTACCTACGCGCTGCCATTGCGCAATACATGGCCATGGGCCCGTGTTGGAAAATCGGTATGGGTTCGATGTGTAAGGCGGCTCAAAGAATATGGGCGCGATCTTATGAACAGAATAATAATGATATGAATCGGGAAAATATGTGATATATTGTGGAGAAATGAAAGATGGGTTGAATGAATTGATTTGATTTTATTGATTGTCTTGGTGATTCCTAAACAGCTTATATACATGTAATCTTGATAGACTAAATCTAGACTAGATACCATCCACCACTCGTTCCATACTCTAACATTGACAATGAATCGCACGACAGTATACAACATGAGTATGGGATCAGGGTCGGTGGACGAAAACCTACACGGGTATCAGACCATACCATACACTAGTCGAGTCTCAAGCATCAAACATGCTCAGTAAGGGAGATATCAATCATCTAGGTCGTGAGTCAGGCCGTGAGTCATGTGTGAGAATCTTAGTTGTTCCAATCATGGGGAAACTTCAGACACATAGAGTCTGAATTTCCAACAGCCCGTCCACTACGCCACCCGTCCTTCTTCCTCGCCCAGCGAACCCTCCTCCGAGATCTCCCGTCGTCCCAGCGCTGACTGTCAAAAGCACCTGGGCCACGGTAGCTAAAGTGGACTGCTACAAATGCAGACCCTTCAGTAAAGCCTGTGCCGCAGCCTGCTGACAAAGCTCCAAAGAAATACGCTCCAAAGACGAAAGTCGACAGACGACTTTTCATCCGCCCTGGTAGCGACCACCCTTGGAGGGAATTAACTTCTCAGTGTGCACGAAATGCAATCCAAGTGCAAACCGGTTGCAGTCTATATATTGCTGCCTCCACACACTGAGTCAGGACTGGTTTCGCAATCGCGACAGCCGATGAAGAATTGATACAGATGATCCTAGATGCCTCTCCGACCTTGGAGAGTATAAACGTCAAAGTTGAAGAGGCTTCAGATATAGTCTCCTTACGGTTACAAAATGCTCCCGTAACTATTATACTAAAATGCGGCGCGGTAACGGTCGCAGACTGGGAGGTCACAAGCGAGATTCTCCGACAAACTGGGCTTCCGCCAGCCGATGTGCGACCACGTGGAACGTAACGTCCTGGTGCACCATATCGCAACTGGGTTGCTCTTTTCCCTCGGGACTCCGGCCGTCGTGCGGGCTTCCGCATCTTTGAAGAGTCTGGTTTGGCTACCAAGCTATAGCCTCGCGAAAGCATCAAGCAGCGCTACTGCTGCCTTGGCTTCCACGCCACTCGTGGTTGCTCCCGCGCTCCAGCCTGTCTGAATTGCGGCTCAACCATGCACTCTGAAGAAGGGTGAAAGGACTGTTGGAAATATCGCGCAATGAAATGGGCGCAATATTCATGGTACGAAAGTAGAAGTTGACTAAAAGAGTGTCATGTTCGGATTAAAGCTAAAAGTGTGGGAGATGTGCGCTACAAGTACAAGTGTAAGCGACACAGAGCCTAAGCCACAGCATAAACGAGTGTGGCGCCATCTAGTCATAGAAAACCCCCCAATAACCTCCTTGCGCCCACGCCATACAGCCGCTCATATCTCCAATAGGTAGCCTGAAGCGCTACCATATTGCCCATTCCAACCTCTTACATACACACAAGATCGTGTCGGCAACCTAGACGAAATGGAGGGCCCGTACGTCCACAACACTCCGTGTCTCCATTTCCAACAAGGACTCCACCAGATATCGAAATTGTGGAGGACCTCACCGGTACGACTCACGGAACTGCCAGACTAGACCTAAAAAATTCGGCCAGGTGAGGAAAGAGCAGCTTGCAGTAATCCGATAAGTCGAGCTAGGGAGGCTTATAGAAGCAGCCCGAACAAGATCTGCAGCAAAAAGGGCGGACGAGGCGATTATCGCCTCAAACAAGGACGTCTCCATAGAGGAGGTATCCGGCTCCGGAGTTCTGGAGTCCGAAGGAAAAGTCCGAGGAGACAGCGACCTCGATAATGCACTACAGGCGATTATCAACTAATAGCAGGATACCGGCTGTATTAATGGTTCCTGCTAACCAATCTCTTGCTTTCAGCAGAGATCGAAAAATTTGTCATCTGGAAGGTGTGACGGGCGAAAGATTGTATGAGGAGCGCATTGTTTGGGCTCAATGTGGAGGAATCTTCTGACTTTAGGGGTATTTTATGCTGTTTGCTTTTAATTTTTTTAATATTCTTGCTTTCGGTTTTGTTTTAAATCGGCAACAATTTTGGTAGTAGTTTCACGCTGTTGGAATGAGTGTGGCTGTTGTAAAGAACACAGGGATCTCCTCCGGCTCCATCGGTCCTGTACCAATAGCGGACGTGGAGCAGTAGCTTAGGACCTTAAAATTACAAATAAATAAACTGGCCAAGGAGGCTCCGCATCCTAGTTCTGGGCTGAACGCAAGGACGGGCTTTAGGGTAAATGCCAGAGCAAATACGCTGGCGGAGGAGAGCTCAGGATGAGGAATGCTGACTCTAAACCATTGATCATTTCTGTTGTTTATTTCTTTTCTTTTTCTTCACTACATTATTTGTTTAAAGAGCTCATGATTTATCAGCTCTAAAATGGGTGTTAACGAGTAGGGCAAGCCTAAAGTTTAAATCTCGGCCGGCTCCACTGGTCCTACATCTAAACAGATTGAAGGCTACGGCATAGGTCTAAAAAACTAAATAAATAGATGGCCAAAGAGGCTAAACATTAGGCATGTAGGTCTGTTGGCAATTTTAGTATATTCTGTAGACTTTTGAGCTCACATGAAACGTCATACTGTCATTATGCTTAAATTTTGACTTACAGCCAAATCAATCCATCGTGACAATTGCTTACTTTCGACTTATTGAGAATTGTAATCTCGGAATAGGTAATAGAGCTCTGTTATATTTTCTTTTTGCACCAGATTTTAATTACGTATGCAGCCATCTTGCTATGACACAATATCAAAGAAAAGGACAGAATAGATGACTGACTTTAAGGCTCTGTTGTGTTTACATGGGCATAAGTGGCAAGTTAAGCGACGAGAGTGATGAGTCAATACCTTGAGCTTGGCGTATTTAGTACTATATTTAGTGTATATTGTTTGCTTTAGTTTGTTAACAGGGAAAGAGATACACTCAGGCTGATAAAGTTTGTGGTTCAACTACTCTAGCTTAGCATTTAGATTTCTAGTGCTCGAGTGCGAGAATAGAGCTGCTTAGGTCAAGAATCGCGAAATATTTCAATGTATCATTGTTCACGGCACTGAGTGTAAACATTGATCCCGATATGGAAGCCTGAAATATCAGATGAGGAAGGTGCCATGGGCGATCCGCTTTACAGAAGGCTTGAAAGGATATCTGTGATGGATTCACCCGTTGCGCGAGGCTACAAGTACCTCACACTGATCGCATTTCTTATCAATTTATCTGCCGGGCTGTCTCGTGTTGACTTTTCGCGTGCTTGAATAATCGAGTATTCGCAGACAACGCCTGCCATACCAAAAACCCACTGAAAGCTCTAGTCCGACTACAGGTATTGATTGAATTTATCTTGGAAACGACAATCCAAGTTTTCCTCAAATCTACCTAACCCGAAAAAGCTGATATGGATATCTTTCGCGGACTGGACAGATCAAACAAGCAAACAAAATAATGGAGGGCGCGTCAGAAGTATCAGACTCAACCGGTCTCAATGGCTCGAATGGGGCAGATCCGCTCTCTGCGGAGCCTACTCTTTTACTTGACTACTTTGTCAACATCCTTGAGGTCACCCTCGGCGCCAAACGACAAGATTTAGAATATGAGGGCAGTCTACTTTCAATAGATTCTCGACAGCAAACCTTACAATCATGTAATCGATTTGCCATAGAGAGCCATCCCGCAATCTATGTGATGAAAGATGTTGTCGCACCAAATACAGCTACAGAAGGTATATTAGATACTTCAAGTGCGTAACACCAGATATCTAAATCTTATTGGCTAATTAGGTAACAGATTCAACGCTATACAGATATACTCTAGCAACCTCAATTTCAATGACAGCAACCACTGTTGCGTTGTTAGCACTACTAAAAAGACCGATCCCTATAGACTTTTCACAACCTCTATATTCTCAGATACAAATATTTCCTTTTGCTAGCACAGGATTCGGGAATACTACGAGTGGACAGGTTAACTCTACTGTCAGCCCTTTTGAGACTTTACATTCAGCCTTGCATCTTGCTCTTGCTCCATATTTCGATGCATACATAAACTCTCAACAAACAATAAATGGGACTAGGGGCGGTCGGTCGGATATTGAGACTAAAACTGGAATACCAGTCACAAAAAAGCGGATAGCGGAACTTGAACTCAGCTTATTACATCTACAGCAGAATGTTGAAATTCCCGAGCTGATACTGCCTCTCCACCCCGTAATTCAGGTTGCAATTGATGAAGCTAGTGCTAAAGGAGTTAAGGCATCCACCGATCTCATTAATCCTTCTCTATTACTCGACAGTACATTTCTCAATTCTTTGCAGTCACTTGTAAATGGATGGATTAAATCAATACAAACTATTACAAAAATGTCAAGGGATGCTTCTAGTGGATCGGCAACTCAAGAAATTAACTTCTGGCTTAACATGGAATCTGCGCTAGAACGTATTGGTAACCAGCTTGGTGGGGAAGGTGTGAGGTTAACGATGGAAGTTTTAAAGATAGCTAAGCGGTATCAAGCTACGGTTAGTTTTAGAATTGATACCGGACTTAACGAAGCGACCGACAAAGTTCAGAAGTATAACCAGTTAATGCGAGACTTTCCACTAGATGAGCTCTTATCTGCAACTTCCTTGCCAAAAGTGCAGGAATCCCTCAACCTTATATTCACTCACTTTAATAAGAAGCTCAGAATATGTCCATACCCTATTCGGAGGGCACTTCCCCTTGTCGAAGCAATATCAGCTGATTTGAATGCGCAATTACATTCCCTTCTACACGGTCGCTCATTGATGCACATGGAATATCGAGAATTTAAGACTCTTATGGCGGCTGCAGGATCTATTTGGAAAGTTTGGGATGAGAATGTAAAAGAGTTTACTAATGTGGCTCGAGAGGTTACCCGTCGACGAAACGAAAAGTTCATACCGATAAAAATTAATCCAAAGCACGTAGAGCTACAGGCTCGTCTAAAGTATATCAGTACCTTCCGCGATAATCATGAGCAATTACAAAAAACTATAGTATCGGTTTTAGCTCCCAGAAGCGAGGGAGGAGAAAGTAGTTTAAATGAAATTGTGTTAGTTGAAGAGATGGGTGACGTAGACGCAGTCGAGGAGGTCCAGCAAGCATATGCTGCGCTGAACAATGTTGATCTACTTGATGTCACCCCTGAAGGCACTACAATATGGGTTCAAGCTGAAATGACCTACAATGAGAGAACTTCTAGAGTTGAGAATTCAATTATAGCTCGGCTTCGCGACCGTCTGGCTATTGCGAAAACGTCAAATGAGATGTTTAGAGTATTTTCAAAATTTAACGCTTTGTTTGTTCGTCCGAAAATTCGGGGCGCAATCACTGAATACCAAACGCAGCTTATTGAAAATGTTAAGCATGATATATCATCCTTGCATGAGCGATTCAAGCAACAGTATGGACATTCAGAAGCTCACGCGATGTCTCAACTTCGAGATATACCTCCAGTATCCGGGGCAATTATTTGGGCTCGTCAAATTGAAAGACAACTAAATGGATATATGAAACGCGTTGAGGATGTCCTTGGTCATGATTGGGCACTGCATTCCGAGGGACAGAAATTGCAGAGTGAGAGCAACCTATTCCGGAAAAAGCTTGATACGCGTCCGATATTCGAAGCCTGGCTTCACGATGTACAAAGAAAACAAATCACAATTTCCGGTCGACTCTTCAACATCAACAAGGTACGATCTGCAAATTATGCCCTTGAGCTAACTGTGAACTTTGACCCTCAAGTGATAGCTTTATTTAAGGAAACTCGCAATCTGTTATGGCTTAATTTCGCCGTTCCCCATTCTATAAATAACATTTCAAAAGAAGCAAAAAGGGTCTATCCCTTTGCAGTCAGCCTCATGGAAACTACACGAACATTTACACAAACTAGTCGGCAAATCTCCGAAATGGCCGATGTCTCAATTCTACTCAGCGGGTATAAGAGTGATGTACAAGCATACATCGCTAAAGGCATACCATTAAAATGGGAGTCATTCGTTAACACTTTTGATTTACATATCAAGCAATCCACATTTATGTCAAATGGGGGGATCGATGGTACACACAGTAGCCGTAACGAGAGCAAGCATATACAATTTGTTCGGGAACTAGCTGCTTCAGTGTCGTTATTGCAGTCTAAAACAGTTACTCTGAACTCAATCAATTCCACAATTCAAAAGGCCTTAATGGAGTTAAACAATTGTCCATATGATACCAATTCCTTCAAGCAGAGATTAGAAACTGTTCAGATAGCAGTTGATCAACTTAATCTAGAGAACTACGTGAATCTTGCTTACTGGGTCAGAGACATGAACCGCCGTATTAAAGAAACCCTACTCCTACGATTAAAACAGGCAATAGTCGTCTGGATCCAAGTATTTGAAGATGAACCTAGAGAAGGCGTCAACGAGGACAGTCATAGAAAGCGCTTATCCGTCGCTAACACACCTCTAGACGGAAGGATGCCCACCTTGAAGCGACTAGTGCATGAAGTTTCAATGCGGAATCAAGTAATTTATTTGGATCCGCCTTTAGATTTTGCTCGTGCAAGTTGGTATTATCAACTTCAAGACTGGATTGGTGTTGTCTGTAATCTTCGAAAGATAAAAGCCTCCCGGTACATAATGACGTTAGTAGATGGATTTGACCCAGATGATCGGTTCATCGACCTACCTGGATCATGCACCGTTAGCTTACTGCAAGCCCATACATCAATAGAAAATAAGATTAATAAGATTAGCTCGTATGTAGACAAGTGGCTACAGTTTCAGTCACTCTGGGATCTTCAGTCTGAAAATGTTTATGAAATTCTGGGCGACGAACTATCGAAGTGGCTTCAACTTCTACAGGAAATTAGAAAGGCACGCTCTACATTTGACACTAGTGAACTCTGTAAATCATTTGGACATCTATCAATTGATTACGAACAAGTCCAGACGAAAGTAAACGCTAAATATGACCAGTGGCAACACGAAATAGTGACAAAATTCGCTGTGCGTTTGGGACAAAGGATAAGGGAGATACATTCAGAACTTGAGAAAGCGCGAAAGGACTTGGAGATACAATCTCTGGAAGCTACGTCTACTGCTCAAGCTGTAAAGTTCATAACTATTGTTCAATCTTGTAAATCTAAATCTAAGTCCTGGGAACCGGAAGTCATTATCTTCCGCCAAGGTCAAACTACACTGTCACGTCAACGTTATCAGTTTCCTAATGATTGGCTGAGTGTCGAGCAAGTTGATTCTGAGTGGGCAGCCCTCAATGAAATACTGGCCAGGAAGGCCAAGGTTGTCCAAGATCAAACTGATGCCCTGCGTGCCAAGATAATAGCCGAAGATAAAGTCGTAAATGATAAGATAATTGAAATAACTGAGAGATGGAATAAAGAAAAGCCCGTGTCCGGTACAATATCTCCTCAGGTGGCATCATCGACTCTTATGGAATTTGAAAGGCAAATAACTAGATTGGACGAAGAAGCAGCGATGGTATCAAGGGCAAAGGAAGCTCTCGATCTTCACCTGAGCTCTAGTTTATCATTAGAAACTATGCTTGAAGAGGTGCAAGATTTCAAATCAGTTTGGGCAGCTCTATCAACAATTTGGAAGAGCCTAAACGATCTTCGAGAGACATTATGGAACAGCGTACAGCCACGGAAAATCAGATCTGCCGTTGACAATCTTATCAAAATGACTAAAGAAATGCCGAGCCGTATGCGACAGTATGCTGCTTTTGAGCATATCCAAAACGTCCTGCGACAACATCTCAAGGTTAATACCATAATTTCTGATCTTAAATCCGAAGCAATTAGGGATCGCCATTGGAAAAAAATTTATAAATCGCTTATGCCTGAAAAGCGGTATTCCCCAGTTTCGATGACACTTGGTGATGTATGGGACTTAAAGCTTGCATCCACTGAGGTCATTATTCGTGATATTATAGTTCAAGCTCAAGGTGAAATGGCACTTGAAGAATTTTTGAAGCAAGTTCGCGAAGTTTGGACAAATTATTCACTAGATTTAGTCAATTATCAAAATAAATGTCGCCTTATTCGTGGATGGGATGATCTCTTTGCGAAATGTAGCGAAAATCTCAATTCCCTTCAAGCCATGAGGCATTCCCCTTATTACAAGGAATTCGAAGAAGAGGCTTCATCTTGGGAAGATAAACTGAACCGGGTTCATGTTCTATTTGATGTTTGGATTGATGTGCAGCGGCAGTGGGTCTACCTTGAGGGTGTATTCACTGGTAACGCCGACATCAAGCATTTGCTGCCAATCGAGTCATCACGGTTTCAAAATATAAATTCGGAATTCTTCACTGTCATGAAAAAGGTGTACAAGCAACCGTTTGTACTCGATGTCCTTAATATTTCAGGGGTACAGAAATCTTTGGAAAGGCTGGCAGAATTACTAAATAAGATCCAAAAAGCACTTGGAGAATACCTTGAACGGGAACGTGTGTTATTTCCAAGATTTTATTTTGTCGGAGATGAGGATCTACTCGAAATTATCGGCAACTGTAATGACGTACTCCGGATTGCTAAGCATTTCAAAAAAATGTTTGCAGGCCTTTCTGGCCTTGTCATGGGGGAAGACAATATAATTACTGGATTTACATCAAAGGAAGGTGAAGAGGTCAAACTTAGGAAACCCATCTCTCTAGTAAAAGTGCCAAAAATTAATGATTGGTTAGCGCTTCTTGAAAGTAGTATGAAGTCCACTCTCGCAGAACTCTTGGCAGAAGCTATCGAGTATTATCAGCCAATATTTACTTCCGAAGATGTGAAACAGTCCAATTTTACAGAATATATCGAAACTTTTCCCAGTCAAATTGTTGTCCTTGCCACGCAAGCCGTGTGGACCCTTGAAGTAGAGAAGGCCCTTGAATCGGGAGGTACTATGCTAAAAGCTCTCTATGATCAGGAAGTTAAAGTTCTTCGATTGCTGGCAGCAACTGTTCTCACTGATCTCAGTCCTACACAAAGAAAGAGGTGCGAACATTTGATCACTGAGTGTGTTCACCAGCGAGATATAATTGGAAAGTTAATCGAGTCGAAAGCTAGTACACCAAACCATCACTTATGGTTACTTCAAATGAGATATGTCTACAGTGCGGAAGGAGATTATCAAAATCGTTTATACGTCAAAATGGCAAATGCAAAACTCATATATGGTTTTGAATACCTCGGGGTTGTTGAACGTCTAGTCAGAACCCCTTTGACTGATCGTTGCTTCTTGACCCTTACCCAGGCATTATGTCAGCGTCTTGGCGGCTCTCCCTATGGTCCAGCAGGGACGGGAAAAACAGAGTCAGTTAAGGCTTTGGGAGTAGAACTTGGTAGATTTACCTTGGTATTCTGCTGCGATGATACTTTTGATTTTCAATCAATGGGACGCATATTTTTGGGTATTTGCCAGGTTGGTGCATGGGGCTGCTTCGATGAATTTAACCGCCTTGAGGAACGAATTTTATCTGCTGTGTCGCAACAAATCCAGAATATTCAAGTTGGGCTTAAGCTGGGAATAGAGGACTCAAAGTCCCAGATCGAACTTGTCGGACGACAGCTGAGTGTTAACTCAAATACGGGAATATTTATAACCATGAATCCAGGGTATGCGGGCCGCTCCAACCTTCCAGACAACTTGAAAAAGTTATTCCGTAGTGTGGCCATGTCAAAACCAGACAAAGAACTTATTGCTGAAGTAATGCTATACTCGCAAGGATTTAATCAAGCCAAGAACTTATCCAGGCAGACGGTCCCCTTTTTTGAAAAATGCTCATCCTCACTATCAAAACAAGCCCATTATGATTTCGGGCTTCGAGCTTTAAAAAGTGTGCTCGTGAGCTCGGGCAGTCTTAAGCGTTCTCGGCTTAGTAACAACGGAACCACTACTGATGACCTAGAGGAAATTGTTGAACCGCAAATAATTGTTCAGAGCATTCGAGAAACTATCGCACCCAAGCTAATTAAAAGTGATGTAGAAATCATGAAAGTTATTGAAGCAGAGTTATTTCCTGGAGTCAGTTACGTTCCTGCCAGCCTTGATAAATTGAGAAAGACTATCCGCACTATAGCTGGAGACAAGCACTTGATTGTCAACGAAACTTGGATGACAAAAATCCTACAACTCTACCAAATTCAGATTATTCATCATGGGGTTATGATGGTTGGAAATTCAGGATCAGGGAAATCTGTAGCCTGGAAAATTCTCCTTCAAGCCCTCCAAATAGTTGAGGGTGTCGAGGGCGTATGTCACATTATTGACCCAAAAGTTATGTCAAAAGAAGCTTTATACGGTAACCTAGATTCCACAACACGTGAATGGACTGACGGTCTATTTACAAGCATTCTTCGTAAGATTGTTGATAACCTCCGTGGTGAAGAATCTAGGCGGCACTGGATTGTATTTGATGGTGATGTAGATCCAGAATGGGTTGAAAACTTAAACAGTGTGCTTGACGATAACAAACTTTTGACATTACCTAACGGAGAGCGTCTCAATCTTCCTTCTAATGTACGGATAATGTTTGAGGTTGAAACTTTAAAGTACGCGACTTTAGCCACTGTCAGTCGTTGTGGTATGGTATGGTTTAGTGAAGATACCATAACCCCAAGCATGTTGATTGCTAACTACCTCGATGGTCTTCGATCTGTGGCATTTGAAGATCTTGATGAAGATACAGTCGCAACAGGTCAAACAGTTGCTAAAGCACTGGCAATACAGGACCAAGTTGCTGAATTATTAAATATTTTTCTTACGACAGATGATTTTATCTCTAATGCTATAACTCATGTTGAGAGATTTCCTCATATTATGGAATTTACTGTCTCTCGTGCCCTCAACACACTCTTCTCACTTCTCAACAAATCTGTCCGCGATATGATCGATTATAATTCTCAACATGTTAATTTTCCCCTTGATCCTGATCAGATTGAGTCATTCATTGCAAAAAAACTTCTTCTTGCGCTCGTATGGTCTCTGGCAGGTGATTGCTCTTTGAATGACCGGAAAGTTTTTGGTGACTACCTCGCTAGTTTCTCGACATTTGGATCGTTTGTTATCGAAAAAGATTTTTCCCTAATAGACTACGATGTCACGCTACCAAAAGCTAAATGGTCATTGTGGCACAATCAAGTTCCGAAAATGGATGTCAACACTCATTCAATCACACAAACTGATGTTGTAATCCCGACACTCGATACCGTGAGACACGAAGATGTGCTATATTCATGGCTAGCCGAACATAAACCTCTTCTACTTTGTGGACCTCCTGGGTCTGGGAAAACGATGACTTTATTCAGTGCTCTTCGAAAATTGCCAAATATGGAAGTCGTTGGTCTTAATTTCTCTAGTGCAACGACGCCAGATTTGTTAATCAAGACGCTCGATCAATACTGTGAGTACAAAAAGACCCTTAACGGGGTAATCCTCTCTCCGACACAGATAGGAAGATGGCTTGTTCTATTTTGTGATGAAATAAATCTTCCAGCACCTGACAAGTATGGAACGCAAAGGGCGATTTCTTTCCTACGTCAACTCGTCGACCAAAATGGATTCTGGAGGACATCAGATAAGTCATGGGTCACTTTGAACCGAATCCAGTTTGTCGGTGCTTGTAATCCACCAACTGATGCTGGACGGACCCCTCTTGGTGCCCGGTTTTTACGTCATGCCCCACTTGTAATGGTCGACTATCCAGGTGATCATTCTCTTCGACAGATTTATGGCACATTTACTAGTGCAGTACTCAAAATAATTCCTTCTTTGAGAGGTCACTCAGAGGCTGTAACCAAGGCTATGGTTCAATTTTATTTAGAATCTCAGCTACGATTCACACCAAAAATCCAGCCACATTATGTTTACAGTCCACGTGAGCTGACGAGATGGGTGAGAGGTATATATGAAGCAATCAGACCTTTAGAAACTCTCACATTAGAAGGCCTCGTTCGGATCTGGGCTCATGAAGCACTTCGCTTGTTTCAAGATCGTCTCGTCGCAGAGGATGAACGACAATGGACAAATGACGCTGTCCGTCGTATTGCTCTCGAACATTTTCCATCCATCAATGAAAGTGAAGTATTTACGGGTCCTATTCTATTTTCAAATTGGATTTCTAAAAATTATGTTCCTGTTGATCGCGAAAAATTGCGGGAATTCGTCAAGGCAAGGCTAAAGACTTTTTGCGAGGAAGAGGTTGACGTTTCCTTGATATTATTTAATGATGTTCTAGAGCATGTACTACGTATTGATCGTGTCTTTAGGCAGCCGCAAGGCCATCTCATCCTCATTGGAGTAAGTGGTAGCGGTAAAACAACATTATCTCGATTTGTTGCGTGGATGAATGGTCTTAAGGTATTCCAAATAAAGGTACATGGCAAATACTCTGCAGAAGATTTTGACGATGATCTCCGAGACGTTCTTCGTCGCTGTGGCTGCAAAGGGGAAAAGATATGTTTTATTATGGATGAATCTAACGTATTGGATTCTGGATTTCTGGAAAGAATGAACACTCTACTCGCAAATGCAGAGGTCCCAGGTCTCTTTGAGGGTGATGAGTTCGCTACTTTGATGACGGCATGCAAAGAAGGGGCTCAGCATCAGGGCCTCCTACTCGACTCACAAGAAGAATTATACAAGTGGTTCACGCAACAGATTGTCAAAAACCTACACGTAGTTTTTACTATGAATCCGCCGGAAGATGGGCTCTCGTCTAAAGCTGCAACTAGTCCTGCTCTTTTCAATCGTTGCGTGCTGAATTGGTTCGGTGAATGGTCAGACCAAGCGCTTTTCCAAGTCGGTATGGAATTGACATACTCTATTGATCTCGATAAAGCCGGATTCTCTGCTCTCGACAGCATCCCTGTAGCCTACAGAGACCTCCAGCTTCCAGCTTCTCATAGAGAAGCCGTTGTTAACTCTATGGTTTATATCCATTATTCCTTACATAGATTTAATTTGAAGTTACTAAAGCAACAAGGTCGGGTCACCTATCTTACCCCCCGACATTTTCTGGATTTTGTCGCTCAGTATGTCAAACTTTACAACGAAAAGCGTGAAGATCTGGAGGAACAGCAACGTCACCTTAACGTCGGGCTCGAAAAATTACGGGACACTGTAGATAAAGTCCGCGATCTCAGAGTGAGTTTGGCCGAGAAAAAGACACAGTTGGAGCAGAAGAATACCGAGGCCAACGAGAAACTCCAGCGTATGATAGCAGACCAAAGAGAAGCTGAGTCACGGAAGACGACTTCTCTAGAGATTCAGGCTGCCCTAGAAAAACAGGAGACCGAGGTAGCAGCACGTCGAGAGATAGTTTTAAATGATCTCGCCAAGGCAGAACCAGCAGTCGAAGAAGCAGCAAAGAGTGTGCAGAATATCAAGCGACAACATTTGACCGAACTTCGCTCCATGTCCAACCCTCCGCAGGGTGTCAAGCTGGCTTTGGACGCAATTTGTACTCTACTTGGTCATAAAGTTGATAATTGGAAGGCAGTACAGGCAGTTGTTCGAAAGGATGACTTTATAGCCAATATTGTACAGTACAATAACGAAGACAAGATGACTAGAACCTTACGAACAAAGATGCGAAACGAATATCTCTCCAATGAAGATTTTACTTTTGAAAAGGTCAACCGTGCCAGCAAAGCTTGCGGTCCCCTTGTCCAATGGGTTCAAGCACAGGTTGAATACTCGGAGATCCTTGATCGTATTGGACCACTAAGAAATGAAGTTGCCATGTTGGAAGAACAAGCACTTCATACAAAAGCGGAAGCCCAAGCAGTGGAGGATACCATTAACTACCTTGAATCGAGTATCGCGACATATAAAGTTGAGTATGCTGCCTTAATTAGCCAGACAGAAGCTATCAAAAATGAGATGTCACGTGTCGAATTTAAAGTCAATCGCAGTGTTAGATTACTAGAAAGCCTATCTTCAGAGAGAAGCCGATGGGAGGCAAGTAGCAAATCATTTGAAACCCAGATTGGAACGCTTGTTGGTGACGTTTTAGTAGCCGCTGCATTTTTGGCTTACAGTGGACTTTACGATCAGCAATTCCGCAAAAATATGATGGATGATTGGCTTAGTCAGTTACAGCTTTCAGGAATTAGTTATAAACAACATAATCCAGTGACTGAGTATCTATCTACCGCCGATGAGAGGCTTGGATGGCAAGAAAATTCGCTTCCAATTGACGACCTCTGCACTGAGAATGCTATCATATTAAAACGCTTTAATCGTTATCCGTTAATTATTGACCCATCAGGGCGTGTCACTGATTTTCTCCAAAAAGAAACCAAAGATGGACGTCTCACGATTACTAGCTTCTTAGATGACTCTTTCACAAAGCAACTTGAAAGCTCGCTCCGGTTTGGTAATCCTATTCTAATACAAGATGCTGAATATATAGACCCAATCCTGAGTCATGTTCTCAACAAAGAATATCAAAAAACTGGTGGTCGTGTTCTCATTCAGCTCGGAAAGCAACAAATTGACTTTTCACCTGCGTTTAAAATCTATTTATCTACGAGAGATCCTTCTGCAACATTTACACCAGATGTTTCCAGTCGTACTACACTGGTAAATTTCACTGTCACACAAAGCAGTTTACAGACACAGTCCTTGAACGAAGTGCTCAAGTCGGAACGACCTGATGTCGATGAGCGAAGGTCTAATCTTATTAAGCTTCAAGGCGAATTCAAAGTTCATTTGAGACAATTAGAAAAGAAGCTTCTTCAAGCTTTGAACGAATCCCGCGGTAATATTCTCGACGATGATAATGTTATCGAGACCCTCGAGACTCTCAAGAAAGAAGCTGCGGAAATTTCGATCAAGATGAATAATACTGAAGGTGTTATGGCAGAAGTAGAAAAAATAACGTTGGAATACAGTGTTATCGCTCGCTCATGTAGTGCTGTTTTTGCTGTCTTGGAACAACTTCATTACCTTAATCATTTCTATCAGTTCTCATTACAATATTTCCTTGACATTTTTCATTCCGTTTTACATGAAAACCAGAGGCTCACTGTCGAGTCAAATCATAATGCGCGTCGCGATATAATAATTGAAGACCTTTTCATTACAGCTTATCATCGGACCTCTCTCGCCCTCCTTCAAAAGGATAAGATAACCTTAGCAATGCTTCTCGCTCAAGCTGCACCATTTAAAATGGATAAAACCTTAATTGATATAATACTCGACGAAAGTATAGAAGGTACAGATGTCTCTACCAGGATTGATAAAAGAGATGAGGTTCTAAAAAGGGCACTCAAAATTCCCGCGCTCAGAAATAAAATTGAGAACGTATCATCAAGCGCTTGGGATCAATTTTTCACGGAGGAAATTGGCGAACACTTTACACCAAAATTGCTGGAACCAACTGCAGATAAGAGAGATCAAGAAATTATTTCTCTTCTTTTGGTGAAGTTGTTTCGCCTAGACCGCTTTGTGCCAGCTGCCGAAAGCTTTGTAACTATTGTTTTTGGTACAAGGCTTTTTGATTCTGCCGAAGATCTCAAAGATATCGTAGATAGAGTATCCGCGAATAGTCCAATCTCTTTATGTTCAAGTCCAGGCTTTGATGCAAGTTACAAAGTTGAAAATCTGGTGGCTCGCACCAACGCGACCTGCACAAATATTGCAATGGGGTCTAATGAAGGCTTGACAAGCGCGGATAAGGCTGTTTCTAATGCCGCAGCTAATGGATCGTGGGTGTTAGTGAAGAATGTACACCTTGCGCCTACCTGGCTACAGAGTCTTGAAAAGCGTATGGATTCACTAAAACCTCATAAAAACTTCAGGTTATTTCTTTCGATGGAATCCAATCCTAAAATTCCTGTAAATCTCCTCAGGGCTTCGCGGGTCTTAATGTATGAACAGCCGGCAGGGGTAAGGGCAAATATGAAGGACTCAATGGTATCTCTTTCTACTAGAGCCTTGAAAGATCCTGTGGAAAGAAATAGACTTTTTCTTCTATTATCATTTCTCCATGCCGTTGTTCAAGAGAGATTACGTTATGCTCCAAGTCTGGGGTGGCATGGCTTCTGGGAGTTCAACGATAGTGATGTAAGCATTGGTCCTTTTTATTTTCTTTACTTTCGGAATCATGTAACTAACTTCCAAGTAGTATGAGTGCGCTGGATTCATTATAGATGCCTGGATTAATACTGTTGCTGGAGGCCGGACAAATATCGCGCCGCAAAAACTTCCTTGGGATATAATTAGAACCCTGGTAACCGAAACGTATGGTGGAAAGATTGACAATGAGACCGACTTTCAACAATTAACTCATTTAGTTCAGTCTATTTTCACGCCTGCTGCATTTGAGGAGGGTCATCGATTAAATGATGGAATAGCTGATGCCAACGACCCAGAGGGAGAAGCATTATCTGTCCCGATGGGCACATCATTTAAAGAATTTACAGAATGGGTGCAAAGGCTCCCAGAGCGCGAGCCACCTACATACCTCGGACTTCCAGCTAATGCAGAGAAGTTATTATTAGTTGACCAAGGTGCCAGCATGATCAGAAACTTGGCTAAAATCACGAAAATGTTAGACGAAGGGGAGCAACTTATGGCCGAAGCTGCTTAGTAAACATTTTATGGATATAATCTCTATGTAACACCTTACGTTGTGAATTACAGGCACACGATTACGGGCTTCTTGGCTACAACTTGAGTAAATCTTGCAAACATGTTTAGGTTTCAGTATGTTATTATGCCCTCTTCTCATCACCATTTTCCAAGGGTAACTGTACGATACTTTTGGCGAAACTATAACTAATGATGTTTACAGTGGAAACTCTGAATTAAAGCGCCAACCCATATTATGACGCAAAATTACTTGATTAATGATGGGAACAATCGATATGAACATAAGCTTGCCTAGCTTGAGATCCAGCGCTATAATAAACGCCGCGATGAAGAGATAATCAGTAAACGACCGAGGATCATCATCAAAGGGCTCGATTAAGCTCTTCATCATTCACAAAGGCGATAGAATGTATTAAGTAGTCTTGTACGGTCTTGAAACAAATGAAATCCCACGTATTAGGGTGAGTAAAACGCCCAGAGCTACAAACTCTTTGGGAAAGTGTGATCTAGGGCTATATGGTAGTCGGTAGAGATAGAGATAGACTAGCGGCTACGAGTGATCAATGTTCACTCAACTTAAATTATCATAGTATCAGATAAAAGCCAAACTGAAGCTCTTATCTGCATACAATTTGTATGGATTACCTACTTCATAATCTAAAATTAGTTCAATTATTCATCAAATGGTAGGTGCAGCCCATATCGTCCTATTTGGTTATCTCTTAGGCATCCAAGGCCACTTATGCCTCTTTTTCAGCATAAGTTGCCAACTTAAAAAGTGAGAAACTATTAACAGTCTCAATTTTTTTTTTCATCCCGGAGATAGCATCGCTGAATTCGAGAAGTTTATACTTTGATCGCAATCTGCTCCGTAAGTGATGTTTATTCCGAGTAGCTGTGGTACTTTATGCACAAAAAATCCTCAATCAAAAGATCCTGTAGACTCTAGAAAAGCCTTCAAAAATTATTCGAACTACTAGTGAAGTAGATATCATGATTATCTTCGGAACGATCATAGATAGTCTTCGTTACAGCGGGGGCGGGACTAAGTCAAGATAGGCATCTGCTGAATTTATCCTAGAGATAACTAGTAACTATCCTCTAGGCGAGACCCTATTATCAAGGTCTGAGGTAATTTGTATAGGAAATATCGCGCGATGAAATGGGCGCAATATTTCGGGAACGAAAGGAGTTGACTAGAGGAATGGGAAGTGTGTGCTACAAGTACAGGTGTAAGCGACACAGAGCCTAAGCCACAGCATAGACGAATGTGGAGCCATATAGGCATAGAAAACCCCCCAATAACCTCCTTGCGCCCACGTCATACTGTTATGAAACTGGGTTATGAGTGGATAGAGATATTCCTGTACTATTGGTTGATCAAGTTGGTGAGCTATTGGGGTCTATCTGTAGGTGAGTCGAGACTGTAGTAAATGAGAGATTAGAATGGTTGTTTGATGATATCTACTTGCAGAGTTGTTACTATGTTAAACACATGTCTCCCTCGCTTGTCCTCACTCTACATGACTACAACAGTCCTTCTCTAACTCCGACGGGGAATTTCTTGAATCAGCTGCATCACTCACCGACCATATATCAGTCGAGTAAGGATGAATACTCACGACATCATACTTCTGATACGAGGCAATCCTTGGAGATGGCTACTTAACTCCGTTGCGTCGCTTGTTGTTGCGTGGTGGCTGGGCATCCCAGGTATGGGACGTGTCGGGCACCACGCATCTGCCGTGAGCTGACTATTATAGATCAGATTCATGGTGTTCACAACACTTTTCCATGAGAGGAGAGTGGTGCGATGGGCCTCCACCGTCTAGCTGTACCGAGATCACAGCCAGGTTTGGGAAGAAGAGTTTGTCGAAACACTCGTGTATTTATATCACACGCTTTCTATAGCAGTAATAACAATTGGTGGTTAACAAATATCTAGTCTTCCCTCTTTTAGCTAGAGGAAACACGTATATACACCAGTTATCCCTCTCTCCTCACGCCATTCCTGAACAGGTACCTCATTACTCATCAACATAACTAGTCATCATCTCCAGGGTAAGACATGAAAGATCATGAAGTCAATAGGTCTTTTGACAGAATTACTTTGACTAGCTTGAATACCTTTGGAAAGTGATTCAGTCGCAGGTAGCCCTCTAGAAGTGCTCTCATTGGGTAGCTAATTGACGGCCTAGCTATTTTAAGAAGCCAAACAAAGATTATGTCTGCTCCGGGGGGCCTCGTTTTGCCATGCTGTTGTGACCCACTTGATCTCTGCATGTACAACTCTTGTGACTAGGGACACGTCGATTACCTGGAGTTTGGAATAATTTATTGAATCTTTCCTAATCCCTTTCGAACTCAGAACTACATACGAAATAAGTAAAGACAGCATTATATCATTAGAATTTATTTGACATGACATAATCCTCTTTTCTCCCCGGCAGCATTAGCTGATACCGGCGCAAGGAAAGCCAGCTGACGATAGGTCTTTTACTACGAATCAACATGAAAGGTTCCTGCGATTTGACTTGTGGGGGACTGTTGCTCTAATGGGGTTATACATCTCGAGGAAGGCCAGGCGACCGGGGCGTGGAAAGAAACAAGGAAGAGACCTCTTTTGGGAATAATAGGTCTGATATTTTCAACTTTGGAACGTTTGTGGGCGCCGAGACCGAGATATGGGCTAATTAGCCAGGAGGGCTTCTTTGTCGATGAGTCAACGGCACTCCCCAGCGCCCTGGAGGACACAAAAGAAGTTGAGCTAAGCTACCAGACAGCAATCAGGCTCTGTCAAGACATTTCTGACATTTGAAAACAACCTTTGGGAAGGAGTTGGAAGGAGGCTTGAAAGGCAGAGGGTGAATTTCCCGAGGCATACACAAGTCTATAGCGCCCAGCTGGCCGGCCCCTTCGAACGCATCAGAAGGATCACTATGTCTTCGGATTTAGTCCTAATGTCGGCATTAGAAGAGCCCCGCACCCAGTGGATTTTTGCGATTTTTCCCGGCTACCATACACCCGCAAATAGCCCTCGTTTTGTTGGTTAGAGATGGGAGATACTGAAGGGCAAAGGGTACCCCGAGTATATTAAAGAATGAAGAATCGTGGGGGGTGGTATTATTTGATTGGGGCTATGTGGCAGATATGGTATGGAATATACCACTAGATGAATAACCTTGGTTATAAGATAGAGAGAACTTGCGTGTCTTATATAGTCATAGACCTAGAAATGATAAAAATAAAAATATACACAATGTAAAAACTAGCCTCTCCTAGTAGAATCAAGCGAATAAATCATTCCAATGTGTTTTGAAATTGATTTCATAGTACTGATTTGGCGCCCTATGGGCCCATGCAAGTGTCTATCATACTTTCTAATTTACATAAGAGGAAACTTTCTGGTCAAAACCGGCCAAACTTTCCTGTTTATTGTCTATATTTTTCTAGTGTATCCTTAAGGAAGCGCAGTTAAACTATAGTGCCCTCTATGATAACCAATCACATCATCTTTATCGACCTCAAGAATGGCTTGACCTATTGCTATCCCTCAGCAGCATTTCGACCGCCTTTGTTATCTGGAATTGTTCTATCCAACCATGATTTAGGATCCACTGTGTTATTTTTTTATGTCTCCAGGATTTTTTAGTAAAGCTTCGTAGGAGCGATCTTTGGCCTATTTCCTAATCTCTCCTCTTCCATTTGACCATCGGTGGCAGGACATTATCATGTACTTGGGGTTCTACGATTGGTAGCCACATGGACAGCTTGGACTGTAGACTCCGGGTAATTTTCTTCTATATAAATACAAATTGAGACCTATGTGCTCACTTCGTATTTGCATCGCTGGACTACTTTGGGCCCTTTTCAGGTTTCGGTATAGTAGAAATGGCGATTCCTGGAGACTTATTTTCCATCGATCCGAATTTCGGTTCTATTAGAACTTGACTGCTCTCCAGGTTTCGGGGTCGGCGATCGTTTATGTCGAGGTAATTGGAGCCGCCTTTTATTTTTCCAGGATTTAGCCCATTCTTGGTATGATGAAAATTTTCCTGCCTCTTTCTGCCGTTTTTTAGAATGGTATTCGCCACAAATTTTAGTCCTTCATAGTTATAGACTCAGTAGGGACTAAAATTTATTTATATTCTATTTTCCACAAATTTCCACCCAGTTTGCCAGATCTACTCTCCTGTTATTGGAGCAAATCTTTTCTCTCTCTCGTTTGGGAAGCTTGATATTACTACAGGCAGATTGTATGAGCTTTTTAACAGGCAGGTTTGTCGCGCGGCCAACGGATTAGAGCCTTTGCTGCTTCAGGTAGATTTCAATTGGTAGGGTGGCAGTTTCGTGTTCGAGCACTCTCGTGCTAGTCGTGTTGTTTGATATTTTTAGTCGCATCTCATCTGTAGTAGATTTGACGTTATGAATTGGGGGGAAGCAGTAGAGTTAGGGTCCGGCACGGTGTAAGGTTACAAGGCTGAATCGTCAGCCTCGTATACTTTTCTTATAGTGTACCATAGTCGTAGACAGAATGTACAACAACGACATGTAACAGGATAAAGCTGCCCGTAAACGGGAGAGTGACCCCGCATGCCTGGAACAGGAGTAAAGATATCGCCGAATGGACAAGAATTTGTGGAAGGGAAAAGGACAAGGGGAGGCAAAAAGAAGCTGGAAAGATAGCGGCCTTCCAGGAGTGGAAAAATTTATGGACAGGCATTAATAGGAAGCAGCGCTCGGGACGACTAGCACCAGCCGATCCAGAACATTGGAAAGCCGCAAATATATTCACCGATAAAAAAACAGGCAGTACAAAAATTAACTTCAGAGGTACACCTTTAAGTATCCACCGTAACCTGAGCAGGGCCCAAAGCAGTGTCGCGATTCAGCTAAGAAGCGAGCATATCGGCCTCAATTCTTACCTATACAGAAGAAAGGTACCCGGAGTAGAAAACCCTCGCTGTCAATGTGGATATCCGTCACAGAACGTCAAGCACATGCTATTGGCGTGTCCGCAGTGGGCAAGTGGAAGAGGCGATGTTCTCCGACAGGCTAAAGACAGGTCATTTGAAGCAATGATGAACAGTCCAGAGGATGTCGCTCGAATCACACAGTGGATACTAAGCAAAGGATGGATAAAACAGTTTCGACTTGCGGGGGAAGTGGAGGCAGCAATGTCGGAAAAATGAATCAATCATGAAGGGGAGAGAACGGAATCCACACTGGCTTAACAGTGTAAAATGCACTTCCTGAAGGTAAACTAGGAAAGTTTGATAGCTATTAAACAGGCAGGATCATGGGGTTTTCACCAAATTGGTTTCCCCTTTTGTAAATAATGAAGATAGTCACCTGCATGGACCCATAGGGTGCCTGATCGGGTTAAATGAAATCAAATTCAAATTCAAAATTTCCAACAACATCTTGACCCAATTTACTTTTGTTATCTGATCAGATACCGAAACCCGGCCTATCCAACAAGTCGACTTGTACGCTCCTGTGACTATTTTTAAGCAGTTTCTTTGCATATTTCGTTTCAAAGTGTTTTTTTCATCTTATTGTTCCTTTAATTTTAGGCGTCCTTCACAATCTTAGAATAATAGGGGCTAAAATGTGAATATAATCCAAGGTCCTACAAATTACTCTAAATCTTCGTTAGATACGTGAATGTCGCTTTTGACACGTGATAATAACGTGACCAACATGCGGACCTTTCAAACTTCTAGGCGGGACATTTGTGATGCATTTGTTTGGACCAGCACACTGTAATAATTGCCACCAGATAGATGCATAATTAATCATCATAAAATTATTTGCAATCTAAAAGACAATCAACTTTCATTACAAAGTGAAGTTCTGATAGTCACAACTTTAAATTGAAGCCATCTTATAAAGCTAATGAATACGCGCACTATTAATGGTCAAATACACTCAGACTTTCCACTGCAGACAAATTAACCATGGCAATTCATATTATTGCTGAAGCTCTAAGTAAGGGAATACCAGGCATCTCGAACAAGTGGAAGATTCTGTGGTTTGCTTTGTGTTTCACATTAATTGGCATAGTAAAATGGTTCTCTACAGGAATTTCCAATACTTCTGAGCGAAAGTTACATGGAAAAATAATAATGATTACTGGAGGAACCTCAGGTATAGGTGCTGCAGCTGTTCTTAGCTTAGCACAGCGTGGGGCACAAATTATTCTTTTGGTTCATCAACCCCCCAATGACTTATTTTTAATCGATTTCATTGGGGATCTGAGAGAAAAGAGCGGAAATGAGTTGATTTATGCTGAGCAAGTAGATCTATCATCCCTCTACAGTATTCGAAAGTTTGCCACGAAGTGGATTGATAACGCGCCACCACGCCGTCTTGATATGATCATTTTATGCGCTGCAACCCTCACCCCACCTGGAAAGCAGCGAACACTCACCGAAGAGGGTCTGGAAGAGATGTGGATGGTCAATTATCTTTGCAACTATCATTTACTCAGCATCCTGAGTCCTGCAATTCGCGCACAGCCGCCAGATCGCGACGTAAGAATTATCTTTACCACCTGCTCCAGCTATAGCAGCTCACCACCCATCAAAGACTATCCAACGTTTCTCAAAAACTGGGCACCAAGTAAATCGTATGCTCAGAGTAAATTGGCTTTGACTATATTTGCTCAATCATTTCAGAAGCATTTAAGCGCTTACCAGAGACCAGATGGTGCACCTATGAATGCACGCGTAATAATAGTAAATCCAGGATATACTCGGACCCCTGGAATGCGAAGATGGCTCAGTCGAGGCACTTTCTGGGGACTTGGAATGTACATTGTGCTCTGGGAGTTCGCATGGCTATTTTTGAAATGTTCTGAAGATGGTGCTCAAAGCCTCCTTTATGCAGCTATGGAAGCTTCACTCTCTAGGGGCCCAGGCGGCAAATTTATAAAGGAGTGTAAGGAAGTAAAACCTGAGAGAAGTGAACTTACTGACGATGCTGCCGGCAAAAAATTATGGGAAGGCAGCGAAATTTTAGTAGAAGCCACAGAAAAGAAAATTTTGGCCAAGCAGAGCTCAAAGAAAAAGATGAAAAAAAAAGAAATCGACAGTATGAAAGGCTTTTGTAGCACCTAGATCTATTAAAGGTGTGAATGGTAGTATGGTTCAAGATTCTAGTTTGAGGGAAGAGGACTTTGATATTCTGTATATCAGACTAAATATTTGAATTCAATTTTTTTCTCATGATATGATATACTAAAGCATCTATCGAAAAAAAATATCCACTTATTAAAAATGATCTTCCATTGTATCTTGGACTCATTTTACACATCCTATTTCTTAACCTGCCATCAAACAAGCTGTTGTTCAGTGGTTAATATGTGATACATACTGCTCAGAATTCTATTAAAGACAATCCACCTGTTTTAGTTATACTAGCTTGGCATAGTGTGACTTTGTGAAATGACAGGCTTTTGGCCATAACACGGTAGATCAGATTTATATCAAACAAAAATGAGTGTAAAAGATCATATATGACTTAATTTTTTAAAAAATAAAATTAATTCCATGGCAAAAGATGTTGAAGGCCATTCTCCCATTGATTATTGCGCGAGTGGATGTATCACATGACATTGAAATAATATACTCATACTTTCTGTCACGGTTCGAGTGTCTATGCTGGAGTAATCAGATATACGAAGGTAGTTTATAATTTTCTCTATGGCTAACTATCAGAGTATTACTTCAACTATTTATACATTTATGAAGATCTCTAGAATACTCGTTCTTGGCTGATATCTGCTTCTCGCATATTCCAGTCATAGTAGTTCCCAGTCTTGCTACCAATTACTAGGATATTCCAGTTACAGCTTAACTGATCTGGAATAAAGCTAGACTAGTGAATAATTTTAAGAGCATGTGATTGAAATCACGTGTTAGAGGGCCATAACCGGCTCACAAGCAGTTACGCTGCAGAAGCATATACAGATAACATACCGGAGTAGTAAGCTCTAGCGTGTTATAAATCTACGTGTTGGCAATTTTTCGAAGCTATTAAGCTGCAGAGGTCGAGTCGATTTTGACGAAGACAAATTATCGAAGTTACGAATGTGCGAATTGATTGCAAAGAGACAAATGAGGGAATCGTGTTGGAAATATCGCGCAATGAAATGGGCGCAATATTCATGGTACGAAAGTAGAAGTTGACTAAAAGAGTGTCATGTTCGGATTAAAGCTAAAAGTGTGGGAGATGTGCGCTACAAGTACAAGTGTAAGCGACACAGAGCCTAAGCCACAGCATAAACGAGTGTGGCGCCATCTAGTCATAGAAAACCCCCCAATAACCTCCTTGCGCCCACGCCATACAGCCGCTCATATCTCCAATAGGTAGCCTGAAGCGCTACCATATTGCCCATTCCAACCTCTTACATACACACAAGATCGTGTCGGCAACCTAGACGAAATGGAGGGCCCGTACGTCCACAACACTCCGTGTCTCCATTTCCAACAAATCGAGGCTCGGATTATCCAAGGTTACGAATTCATATGTTTAGATTATCATATTATCAAAATAGCGAGTGCCAAAGAAGCAAATTGTAAAAAAGCTAGAATTGGTAGAACTAGAGGACAAATCCAAAAGTCCAGCCTGAACACGTCTAAATGTTATGGCCAGGCATCCTTGAAGAGGTTTCAAGGAGAAGGTTCTCAGGAAAAGGTGATAGGAGAAGGTTTTAAAAAAGTTTTTGGGAGAAGGTTTCCGAGAAAACTCCGACAGTTAGAGATGGAGGGGCTGGCGTCATGACGGCATTTGTCATTTGTCATAGTCTTAGTTGAGTTCAAGTACTGTCTCGAGTTAGACTTAAGTAAGCTGGAGCTACCACATTGTATCTCTCCAGCTTCTCAATCTTTTATTCTTTTGATCTTTGATCTCGTAATCTTATATTCTCACAGTCCAATATTCTCAGTCTTTCGTCATTCGTTACATTCTTCGTACTTCTGTTCACCCCGAGGTATCAGCCTTGATCGCTTGCTAGGCAACTCGACTTCTTGACTTCGTGTCTTTCCACTATCCTGTAGTTCCACGACCTTCAACCACCTGGCACCTCGCCAATCGAATTATGTCTAAGTATCCTTCGTTAGCAACTATAATCCTAACAGTTATTAATAGCTCACCTTCGGCAGACAGCGATCTCCAATATCCCTAGCGCACGCCGTAACACTAAATCCCGTTGCCTCAGCCCTAATCGAATGAAGAAAATAACCCCTGCACCACCACATTCAGATTAAACCTACCAAATTCATAGCATAGCGCGCTTTACCCGGTTGGGTGTATAGAGAAAAGGGTCAAGGCTCACTCTAGTTAGATTAGATTAGATTTATTTTAGAGTCCTATCTGAGTCTAAGACGATAGAAGACTTCTAGAATCTAGGTGATAGAGTCTAGCTACATCGGAGTTTTATTTAAAGTCAATTTAACTTCATTAATTTCTCTGGATTAAAGTCCTGTGCGTTATTTATATACAGAACCATGAAGACGGTAAGCCGCTTAGGTGTGGGAAAAAGGTTTCAACAAACAAAACCCAATGTCCTGTCTCTCTGAACCGATCCGGCTTCATGCTGAGGACGTTCCTCTCGTCTATTATCTTGTAAGCAAACCGCAAATTTCATTAACTCCACCTTCGATCAGACTAACCCTATGAGAAATTGAATAGAGAAGGCACTTTATCACTCGGCGTTAGTCTTCGAAGTGTTAAAAGAGTTGGCCCCGATGGTGGTGCCGCTGGGGCTTTAACTACCTTACGTGGTCGTCCCGGCCCTCTTTTGAGTCCTTCAGCCTTCTTGCTGGTGACCGAAGTGAATCCCTGATCATCAGTCGTTCCGAATGTTCGCATTGGCGCTATGGTAGGTTTTTCGTTCCATATATCTGCCGTTCTCGATAAAAGCTCCATGTGAGCCTTCTACACACTTCCATCGTAGACCTGGTAGGTCCGACACGCTGCTTTTTGCCATGAACGGTGTTCCTTGCCGCAGTTCGCACAAGAAACCCTTTTTCTAGGACAGTCTCGAGAATGGTGAGCGCCTGCACACTCACCGCACCTGGCTACTTTTCCACACGACGCTTGTGTGTGTCCCTACTGGCTACAATTGTAAAACTGCTTTGACTGGGCTCGTGGTGACCTCACCTATACGGTGAGAAGCATGGCATTAATTACAAGGCCCTTTCGAACTTCCCCCGTTTGCATTGCATCTGATGGGAGGCTGACCACAATTGATCCTCGATTGCGACCGTTTTTCTTCGATCGCTGGTGCTCCTTTCCATCATGTAGCCACCTGATTCGATTAATCACTAGGCCGGGAATTCGAGCCTTAGTTGCTATCTCAATCTCCCTGATGATAGCATGGTTTCTGGCATCTCTGCCACCCTCAATTCGAGTCCGCAAAGGGACACCAGAAACCTCGACGGGACAATCTTGCCTTAGGATCTTAAAGTCGTTGGGTTGGCGCATGTTGGGCGCCGCGTCTCTCTGGGACGCCGACTGGACGAACATCTCGGTGTCGTTGCTACGCATTTGGCGAATCGCGTATGCGCCTTGAATATATTGTTGTACCTTTGTTAGCCGCTCTTGTGGCTGCAAGTTTTGTGCGCCGTCGATTCTTATTCTCACCGCCGTTTTCGCCATTTGCGGAGCTACGACCGACGCGTTGGTCCTTTGTAGCGGCTTCCTTGACGACAGAACAGGAGCTGCTTGTCGTACGGCGTCCGCGATGCTTTTCTTTACCACCTCCTCCAACGCTATCATTCTCTTCTCGATCAGGGATGGAATCTGGGACATCGTTGTCCAAGCCTTCTTGTGATAATTGAATGCCTTGACGGCTTCATTTGCGTCTTCCATCGTTGGTAGGTCCTCCTCATCCATCTCTCCCATCACAATTAGTCTGACCTATTTTAATAGCTTCCCTATTATTTCCAATTTAGGATCCTTTGGAGCTATCTGTGCTCCTCTGCCGTTGTCGCATTTTGCGACGCGTCGAAACCGCTGGATTTACCCACACCAGCACCCACACTCGCCATGTGGGAGCACGGAAAGCGAAAAGTTGGTTGGAGGGTAATGAAGATGTAAAAATAATGATCACGATGTCAAATTGATGATATGGGCAGTGTGGAACGCTGCGCAGCTTTCCGGCAAAAATGATGTTTACCTCTCATTATGCTTATTTGTTTAGTTTTTGGCTCACTCTAGTTAGACGTTAAATAAAAATCAAAACGCACAATTTGAGAAATTCGCAAATTCTCTTTTCCCAACCCTCTCGAACTCGTCGCATCTATCTTTGAATTGTGATCGAGCTTGAGGAATTTTCACCATGCCACCTGTTCGTAAAAAGCGTCCCAACGCCACGTTGGACAACACGAGACTCCGCCCATCATGTGAGCTTCCGCGTTGTCGATGAGTATGAAGCGGCTACGAGATGAAAGGTGTAGTGGTCCGCCTCCTGGTGGTATTCACTGGTATAGTTTGTGTAGCCTGGGCACCTACTCCACTTGGGAAGGAGACATCTCAGATTATATTTCGCGCGGAGAAAAGTTGATGAATGACGGAGGCATGTCTGGATAACTCAGGGTTTTTGAGACGTTCCCATGGGTGGGTATTCACGGATGAGGGTTGACTTTGGGTGAAGAAAAAGCCGCCATAATTTCGCAGTGGTACTTGCAAATGAAATCTGAGGCATGAGTGCTCCTCTTGTAAATTGAGTCATCTTTTCTGTACTTTTCTTTGATATTGTGTCATAGCTATATAGCTGCATACGCAATTAAAATCTGATAAAAATAAAAATAAAAATAAAAATAAAAATAAAAATAAAAATAAAAATAAAAATAAAAATAAAAATAAAAATAAAAATAAAAATAAAAATAAAAATAAAAATAAAAATAAAAATAAAAATAAAAATAAAAATAAAAAAGTCCACCTTCTTCGACCAATCGGATAGTGCAACCCCTGTTTGAGCTTCCACACCATTGGTGGTTGCTCCCGCGATCCAGCCCGCCGGAACTGCGGATCAAATATGCATTCTGAAACAGGGTGCAAGGCTCTCATTAAGTGTCGCAACTGTGGGGGACCCCACCGATCGGATTCTTGG